CCCCACAAATAACAAAATGCCCGACGCTTGTTTGTTTGCCAGCATTTTATTTCGATCAAGATTGTAAATCTGCCCGGATCGCGCAATCTCTTTAACATTCCTGACGTATAGTTTCCGGAAACGGTTCTCTCGGGCGAAACGAATGTCTTCTGCCTGCTTAAGTGAATTGTTTGCCTTTCTTTTGGGAACCTTTTCATCAGAACAATATTTTCGGATTGTGCGTGACCTCCATTGACGTGATATCCGGACCGTCGATGTAATAGAATTTGGTTAGTTTCGTCTCCTAAGTCACAAAGGTTATGCAACCAACATTACAATCGCATTTTAAATACAAAAACCCTGCCGTTGCCACCACGCGGGTACGTGCATGTGGGTCTAATTTAAACGCAAATAATAGAAAACCAAGTCTTAATCGTGCGATCAAACAATGCTAGTTTTAAGTATATTAAAAAATAATAATAATAAAGTCATACTGCCTTCATAATTAATATTTAGTTTAGTTAATTAATAATTAAACAGAAGTATTGAAAAAGGAAGAGATGGAAAGGGCAAAATAACAAGCAGGCAGCTCGGCGAAGAGCGCAATAAGGCAGCTTAAAGTTGGTCTTAAATCAGTTAACTGTCTAATATTAAGTGGGACTTTGTTATACAAAATAACAACGAAGTAAGCAGAAATATGTTTAAGTGTGATTGTTGTAAAGTTCTGGGTGTCGTAATGGAATTTGATATACTTATAGAGATAATCTAGACATTTCCTACCCATAGTTTTATATTCTTATTATTTATTATTTATTTATCAACGGTCAACTGCCCAATATAAAATAATATCCCATAAACAAAATAGTAAAAAACAAAATAAAATAAAATAAAACTAAACGAAATAGATAGATAAAGACCTAGCCCCAATATGACATACATTGAAGCTCAAAGCAAAGTGGCAATTTGTTGTAATATCTAGCTTTCGCCCATGGATACAGGCTTCATCAGGGCACTAAGTCATATAGAGAACAAAAAAACACTTCATCAGAGTTAACAATCTAACCAAAAAATAGTGAAGAAAACTTACACAACACGCCTCTTTCAACCTCTACATATAGAGAGATGACATTGGTATATAAAATAAAGTGTTTCGCCTGTTCTAACTATCAACATAACACTCGATGGATGAAATTTATGGAAAAATTTACAATTGTAAAAAATATTAACATCCACCACAACGTTACAAAACAATCCCACTAACATAAAATGTTAAGGTCAATAAAATATCCGGATTGATAAAATATTAAAAGATGAAAAAAAGGCCGATTTGTTACAAATGACACTCCGTATTGTCGAGAAGGAAAACTAAATGTGCGGGAACTTATTAACAATTCGCAATAACCTAAAAAAGCCACAACCAAAAAACCAGTCAATGATACCAACTGTACAGCCAACCATAAAATATGTAAAACACCAAACAAGGGAGGGAATTTTAAACAAGAATTCTTTCAAATATGCACCCATTGTACACTATTTATATAACTCTGTTTACATTATTGAAGTTAACGTTAAGGGTAATTAGAAACAATCCTTTAGGACGGGGAGAAAGAAACAAAGAAAGGAATCTGTTTTTAAACATTAATAGCAACAAATTTAGCAACCCACTACAACCTGACCGTATCAAGAAACTCTGGTAGCTTATGCTTCGCAGTACGTCTCTGATTAAGAAGATAGGTGTAGATGCTACTAAGACCCTCAACATCCTTCTTTCTGTTGAGGCTATTACTACAACAGTTAATATAACACATCTCTAAAAACTTACGTTTGAAGAGGTTCTTTTCACTCTTTAAAACTACCGCTTCATCGTACATGACACTATGTCCGGTATCATTGACATGAGCACTTAAACTAGTAATATTTGGTTTTAACTTACAATCACTTTTATGAAGTGTTAGCCGTTTTTTTAACTTCTGTGAAGTATGACCAATGTAAATTAAATTGCAAGAGCATTTAATGCAATATACAACGTCTGACTTATGTAACGATGGGGTAATGTCTTTAAGATTGGAATAGAAAGATTTGAGGGGTCTTAAGTTGTAATTGGCAATTTTTATATTAGTATCTTTAAAGATCCTAATCAGAGCCGGGGACAATCTATCTATATACTGTAGTTTGCCAAAACTAGGCAACTCATTATTAACATTAAGCTGTGGTTGCTTATGCTTCGCAGTACGTCTCTGATTAAGAAGATAGGTGTAGATGCTACTAAGACCCTCAACATCCTTCTTTCTGTTGAGGCTATTACTACAACAGTTAATATAACACATCTCTAAAAACTTACGTTTGAAGAGGTTCTTTTCACTCTTTAAAACTACCGCTTCATCGTACATGACACTATGTCCGGTATCATTGACATGAGCACTTAAACTAGTAATATTTGGTTTTAACTTACAATCACTTTTATGAAGTGTTAGCCGTTTTTTTAACTTCTGTGAAGTATGACCAATGTAAATTAAATTGCAAGAGCATTTAATGCAATATACAACGTCTGACTTATGTAACGATGGGGTAATGTCTTTAAGATTGGAATAGAAAGATTTGAGGGGTCTTAAGTTGTAATTGGCAATTTTTATATTAGTATCTTTAAAGATCCTAATCAGAGCCGGGGACAATCTATCTATATACTGTAGTTTGCCAAAACTAGGCAACTCATTATTAACATTAAGCTGTGGTTGCTAAATTTGTTGCTATTAATGTTTAAAAACAGTTTCCTTTCTTTGTTTCTTTCTCCCCGTCCTGAAGGATTGTTTCTAATTACCCTTAACGTTAACTTCAATAATGTAAACATAGTTATATAAATAGTGTACAATGGGTGCATATTTGAAAGAATTCTTGTTTAAAATTCCCTCCCTTGTTTGGTGTTTTACATATTTTATGGTTGGCTGTACAGTTGGTATCATTGACTGGTTTTTTGGTTGTGGCTTTTTTAGGTTATTGCGAATTGTTAATAAGTTCCCGCACATTTAGTTTTCCTTCTCGACAATACGGAGTGTCATTTGTAACAAATCGGTTTTTTTTTTCATCTTTTAATATTTTATCAATCCGGCCATTTTATTGACCTTAACGTTTTATGTTAGTGGGATTGTTTTGTAACGTTGTGGTGGATGTTAATATTTTTTACAATTGTAAATTTTTCCATAAATTTCATCCATCGAGTGTTATGTTGATAGTTAGAACGGGCGAAACACTTTATTTTATATACCAATGTCATCTCTCTATATGTAGAGGTTGAAAGAGGCGTGTTGTGTAAGTTTTCTTCACTATTTTTTGGTTAGATTGTTAACTCTGATGAAGTGTTTTTTTGTTCTCTATATGACTTAGTGTCCTGATGAAGCCTGTATCCATGGGCGAAAGCTAGATATTACAATAAATTGCCACTTTGCTTTGAGCTTCAACATCTTTTATTGCTCCCTTTACGGCGATCCATCGAAGTTGGGGTGATCCCAATAATTAACAGTTTGTTTGTGTGTTACCAGTAGCCCCGTTACTGTCCTTCGCTTTATATATATATATATATATATATATATATATATATATATATATATATATATATATATATATATATATATATATATATATATATATATATATATATATATATATATATATATATATATATATATATATAGGGAGAAACATATGAGTCCAGGAATAGAAGCCTGGGGAACACCGTAAAATACAGGTTTCGGAGATGATGTGCGACCATTCAAGTAAACCATTTGCTGTCTCTCAGTTAAGTAGTTTATCAGAAACTACAATTACAATTAGGTGGACGCAATTTTTTAGAAGTGATTTTTTATAGTTCTATTTATTGTAGTTAGATGATAAAAAAGACTTTTTACGTCCATAATATATAACGATAGTGATTTCATTTGGTGGTCGAGGAATACTTTGATCTCGACTACCGGTATATTTCAATATGTGAGCCTTTAGTCTCAAACTTAAATTTTTCATGCATTAAAATGTTGCAAAAAAAAGTTTCAGCAAAAGGAACAGAAAAAAGACTTGAAATATTTATGGAAAAGAAGGAAAGGAAAAGATGGTAAAAAAAACAAAATAAAATGTATTTCAAAAACTGAAAAGAAAATGTACACAGAGTTATGAATAATATCTTACTGTCTTTTGAAAAGTGTTTATTTAAACTTAATTTCTATGTAGGAATACATGTTTTATTAAAATTTTTGGTACTTTTAAAAGTGGTTTCAGTTTAGTTAACCTCCTTTACAATTTTTAATGATTATTACTTCTAAAGCAGTTGCAAATATTAAATTGAAAGTGAGAATTATTTCTGCAAACAGAAAAATACCGACAATTATAAATATATACGTATATACGTACTTATTTAGTTTTATACTGAAGTTTTTCAGTGAAATGGTTTTTAAGTACTGGTTTTACAAAAAATTTCTATTGAAAAACTTACTTTCTACTCGTGTAAACTTTTGCAAGATACAAAATTGGTTTTCGAAATTTGACATTGAAACTCTTGGAAACTACGGCGTGTGACCGAGGACAACGTAAATTGCATTTTTTTTTATAATTTGTAAGAAAAAATACATTTAGACCTCCATAGACTAAGGTTTTTTTAATAATATCAGAAAAAAAAAGATAATAAAGTAATTAAATTTGAATGTTTTAATACAAGTTTCTGTGAATTAATCCACAAATAGTACCTTTTGTTTAGTTGAATAAACAGATGTTATGACGTACAATGTACATGATTTCTAAAGAACTATGCTTATTTTTTCACTTTTGAAAAAATATATAAATACTTAGATATATTAAAACATTAATTTTCCGTTCATTTTATCTTTAATATTTTGAAGGCAGCACTTTGAAAGATACAGAAGATAATAATAAATAATAATAATAAATTCTAGCATAGTCTTATTGAAAGCTTTGAGATCTTGTACAAGAGTTTTGTTCAATGAAATATTTGTGCTGTAGATTAACGAGGATTGAATAAGAGACTTCATATACGAACTCCGAACTCCGTGATATGCGCTTTATTAGACACAAATAAATAAACAAATCAACTTAAGCGACCCCAACAAATTATATCCACTTCCGTCTCACTGCCTCATCAACGATAAACCCGAGTTTCTCGTAATAATTGAGCGGCGGTTTGAACGGAGGAAACTTCATTGGTTCGCCCTCTTTGGGAGGCGGGGGCGGCGCCGCATTCTTGGGCCCCATGATCACGAATAACATGGGTGCCACGTGCGCCACCTGTCGTCCCCCTTCGGAGTCCAACTCCTTCTCGAAAGATTGGTAAGTGAAGTCTCTGGTGTCGACTCTCAGATCCCTTAAAGTATCCACGAATCTCTCATAGTAGTACTTGAGGAGTTTCTGGAAGTGGTACTTGATCACCGACAGTTGAACGCTACCCAGCAGGAAAAACAGCAGGTCACTGGCGACCGACCCGTAGTCTACGACTTGAAAGTCGACGAACTTGACGCTAGTCACGTGGTGGCCTTCGTGTTTGACCATGACGTTGTTGACCCAGAAGTCGTTGTGGGTTATGGTTGCCCAGGGTTCGTTAATTTTCCTCCTCCATTGTTTCGAGAGGCATTTGATGAACTTGGATTTGTGTTTGGATGCTTCACCTGCCCCGTCCAAGAAATCGGCGATCATTTGCTTGAAATTATCGGTCGAAGGCGGTATCCATTCGGTGAGGTGGGGTTTGACGCGTTTCTCGAACACTTCGGGTCGTTTCAGTTTTAGGCCTATGGCGGTTGCATGGAAGTTCGCCAAATGATCCAGAATCAGTCTGGTCGTCTCCAGGTCGAAGCCTTCCATACGGTCGATGTTCGTATAACCTGATAATTAACGAATTAAGTTGAATTAGGCTAAAGAGGTAGATTTTAAGCCTATAGTAATTGTGAAATTCGCAGGTAAAGCTCTCAACAAATAACACTCGCTTTACGAAGGAACATTAGACTTTATTGACGTACTCTACTAATTGGGAGCTAATGGCTGCTGGTCGGATTTAAGTCATTTTTTAAAGACAAGTCGCAAACTTGTAGTTGGAAAGCCGAGGCCGATAACTAACCACAGCAAGGTCGAGAGCCAATTGCTGTTAGTTGAATGCGACGGCTCTTGTTCAGATGAATAAAATTTGAGCTTTGTTTTTAAAATATTTTTGTGAAACTCTCGTTGATTAATATAGCGAATGTTCTTAAATTGGCTAGATCTCCCATGACATGCAAAAACACTTCGTAAATAAGGTGACGATCCTTTGAAATCCTAATTTTTACTTGTTTTATTAATAAATTTGTTTTATCCGTTTCTCATACAAACTGCGACAATTGACGATTTCGAAACTTCAGTTTTTCCTGATATCACTACAATCTACCCAAAACAATTGTATGTTTTATAGGATGAATTCTATGAAGTTTTCTATTTTGATACTCTCTTAATGGTTAGTCAGTAGTAAATAAATGGTAATCTTTACAGGAAAAGACTACAATTCCATCAAACTTACATTTTTTTCATATTTTCTTTGAAGATAGCATAAGAAAACTAACCGAAACTAACCAAGACAATCAAAAAATACTTTGAACAGAGTTTTACTTTTCTCCTAGTTTGTTTTTTTAGGACGTGTCTTGTTTATTTGCTGATTTTTTTTTGCTTTTGTTTGACTTCGACAAATGCGCATTTCCTTGACTTTCATTTTGTTATAGTACGTTATGCAACGAGTGCAGTAAACGGCATTTAAGTCGAACTTATTTGGCAGGAGCGGAGAGCCGCGGAGCGAATGTTTATTAAACGAGTGACTTGAAAAGTTTAAAAACGTGTTGCATACTATACTTCTTCTACGACCGTTAGTTTTTAAGTACATTTTTGCAAAACAACACTGATACATTCACTGACATGACCGTCAGAATTGGCAAATGTCAAAATTCAAATCGTGCGGTAAAATCCCGGAAATGTGCTAAGGGGTTCGTGGGACGAGAAACTCACTTGGTAAAGTGACGCTTCACGCACGCTAAATCGGTGTATACTTAGGTTTCTTGACCCACGGATTCGAGCCACTTCGGGTATGTAAATGAGACAATTACTTAACAATTTCGAAAAGTAGAAGAAATTTTCAGTTTTTACGGATATCACTAACCCAAAATAATTGTAGGTTTTAGGTTTAATATGGTGAATACTTTTTTTCTACTCCCTTCTGTATAATGCCTAATTACACCGATCTAACATGCAGGAATCGCCACTTTACCACTTCAGTTGCATTTCCCACGGATCTGGGACACTTCGGACTTTTCGGGGATTTTACTCCACGGGTTGTATTCGTGTTGTTTTGCGAAAACGTACCCAAAAACTCAAGGTCGTAGAAATAGTATAGTATGCAACACTTTCAGTAAACTTTTTAAGTCACTCGTTTATTAAACACTCGCTCCGCTCGTGTCAAATAAACTCGTGAGTCAAATGTCGTTTACCGCACTTGTTGCATAATATACTATAACTTTCCTATTTTGTTTTTCTCTCAATGCCTATGGGTAGTTAAATAATGAAAAATAAATAGCATGTTTACACGGAGCTTTTTTGCTTGATTTATTTTGCTTTTGTCTGACTTCGAAAGCGAATTTGTCTTACCCTCAGTTAGTTAAAGTCCCTCCTCTAACTTTTGTCATTTATTTTACTCTTCAAAACGAGGCACACCGTATTACCTTCCACTTTCAAGTTTTCCATCAGGATGACGGCGTCCGAATCAACGACGTCACTGTTCGGACTCAAATTGATCCTAGCGCCGTAAAGCTCTGCGAAGTAATCTGCCAGCATCTTCGCTCCCGCCTCCTTCTGGAATTCTTGAAGTGCTGGAACCACCTCGAGGTACCAGTTGATTTCGTTCTTGAACGTCACCTGAGTATTAAATATCTCTTTGATGAACTCCAGCGTAGGGATCAGCTTGGCTACAGCGTGTAAGGTTTCTTCTTTGGATCCATTCGCGTGGACGATATCCACTTTGGCCATAATACTTCCGAAATTCTCCCCGAATGCGGATAAGGCGGTAGCATCGACTCTGATGATTTTACCTGTGATTCGATGACGTAATAAACCTTCGAGGTCTCTGATTTCCGGAATTTCCATTGTGCGCGACTGAGACGACAGGCAGGTGACTGAGTGTTATGCCGCAGGAATTACGATCGTAGCTGTCGTGATTGATAATTTTTTAATTTATAAACAAAAGCGATTGATTACGATTTTTTTCCTTTGGTCGAGTGGAATTGTAGTTGATTTGTACGTTCGAATTGTCATAATTACCTGATAAGTTAATCTGTGTTAGCGTAATAACCGTGTTATCTGTCGATGTCGATCGCATTTGTAGAAAATCGGATCTGCATAGATATTTCGATATGCTTCGTGTCCGTAAATCGATAGAAGAAAACACGAAGCCCTACACAACTAATGTCAAATGTTCGTGTCTCGTTCTAATGTATAATATCCAGGCTGTTCCATTAAGGACGGGGACCGATTTTATATCTCAAAAAGTACTGGGCCCATAGCTTCGGGAAAAAAAATATGGACTTGAGAAATTAGGACAGGAAATTATTTGGAAGCTCTATATTTCACCGTGAATCATAAAATTCAAGCTATAATTTTATTAACACGTTAGAAAACCTATGCCAATACTTTTCTATTTCTTTAATTTTAATTTTTTTTTTAATTTAAACAGCGAGTTTTATTTAATTCCGCGCAGGAGCACTTAGTTTACATTAAAGCAAATGGATATTCACATTTTTTGCAACCATGTTTATTAAGTTATTACGGTTATTGCATCTAGTATAGGTACTCCAATTACCAACGCACACATCGGCAGTCTTAAGTGGGCTTAATATATTCGATATTTTGATATATACATATGCCATTATATTAATTGCTTTTTTTATGATGGCCAAATACATTTCATTGTTATTTATCCAACAATATTACTTATTATTACTAATTAATTAATTTTATTTAGATAATTTTATATTTTTACATACACTTGTAACTCAAGTCTTATGGAAAAAAAGCTATCTTTATCTTTATTCATTCAATCATTTTTTAAAAATCGTAACGCTGATTTTAAGTTATTCACTGTGTAGGGTAGGCAGTTCGGTCTGCAGGAGCCATTTTTATTTCTTCTGGCATTACAAAACGCAAGGAATAACAAACAAACTAAAACTAAATTTTGAATTGAAAAGAACCGCTAACTATTTTGAATTTTATTCCACTCAATACACACCAAGAGGTCGATGGATCATTTGAAACCCTTTTTTTATGATGGCATCCTTCAGGAATTTTGGATGGATGTTTTTAATATATTGGGTTAGTCATAAGTACTGAAACGCTTAAAAATCTATAAAACTGCTCAAGCTGGATGGATAAAATTCGATATTTGAACATGCATAATTAAAAAACGCTACAAGCAATGTTTCCAGAATTACTCAATTCGTTTCTCACTTTTTTGTCATGCTTTCGAGTGGCCGCAGGCATTGTATATTGGTGGAGTCTTTTGCAAGCGCCAATCATTTCCGAGAATCCTCTTTGCGAAAACATTTAACCAATATGAAAATTTTTGAGCTTTTACATATTTTGGTTGGACGTTTAGTGCCGATACTCTCGAAACATGTTGGGCGAATGGAGAGGAAATATTTTATTGGTTATAAATACATATATATCCTAAATAATTTAATTCCCAGGTGTTTCGATTTTAATTTTCTTAAACAAAAACAGGAACCTGGAATGCTCTGAGACGACGCCACTGGGTTCAAGGTCTAGAACGAATATTAAATTCAATGATAAACGGTGTCGCTATTTCGACAAAAGTGACACTTCACAAAATTGTACTATGATTCGGCGATTACCTAATTGCGATTCGAATTTCCTTGCAAACGGTAGCAATTTGTATAAAATTGTTTTGATTCAATTAAATTAGAACAAAAAATGTTCACATTTTCACAGTTATTTATTGGTTTGACAGCTGTTTCGGCAACACCAACAAAATACTAGAAAATACAATATTCTTACGTCTATATATACAACCAGGTAGAGTTCTTAACGATATACCGTTTTTACGACATAATCCGGTATTTAATTTTGGTAAATTCTTATCAAGGTGTAACCCTAGGCCTATCTCGTTCTTTGTAACTCTTAATAAATAGATTCGCAATTCCACAATCATGTTCCAAAACCGTACTTCGATACTTCGTGGATACAAAAATTTGTCTCTTATTGATGGTTTTCACAACTATGTCACGTACTGTTTCATTTGGTGTTTGAGTCATGTCGGACGTTAATTTTATCGCTCCACCTTCCCCAGATGTCGATTTCAGAAACAGAAACATATTTAAAATTGTAATTTTGGCAGCAACCGGCAAATGTGTCCGAGTCTTTGATCCATTTGAATTTGACGGAAGTTCATCATCAACGATTATTACATCATCTACCACAATCTCAACTTCTTCGTCTCTGGACATCCCAAGTGACTAACAAAATTGAATAATGTTAGTAATTGATAAGAAATAAATCGTAATAAAATGTATGTGGTGCCTCAATAAACATGGCACACTGAAGAAGAAACATCCATTAAAAAATCAATTATCTAAATAAGATTTTGTTTTGCTTTCCTAGGAAAATATTTTAGTGTCATTATTTAAACCCTTAAATTGGAAATCAATTTAAGCTTTCTAATGTGTTTTTAATATAGGTAATTTATCTATCGATCTAATCTCAAGTAGGGACTGTTTTAGGAAGATTTATGAAAAGCACACTAATATGAATTAGTATAACAGTTTAATCAAAGAAAGTTTCTCTGCTCCTAAAATACAACAGTCCGCACGGCACAGGTTGGAAAAACGGTATATCGTTCGAAGAACTCTACAATATTCTTACGTCGATATATACAACCAGGTAGCAATAGAGTCTTAATAACGGTTATTGCAGAGTTATAGATTTAAATTTAATATCGGAGAACTATTCAAATCCAATTGATCATTAGATAATGATTCGAATATCTCATTTTGCCATAGCTTTCAACAAAATTAACATCAAACTGGAGCATTACTGAATTTAAATGAATTGCATTTTTGCAATCCGAACTTTTATTTTTATTCACCTTATGTTCTGTAAGGCGTTTCTTGAATGTTCTACTTGTTTATCCGAGATAATAGGTATTTAATATTATTTAGCTTTTCTGTGAATTTAAAATTTGGTCCTTATGTTCACCAAAATTGCAAGTCTGTTGCTTTATCTACGGGTCCAAGAAAGTTGTTTCTCGTCTTCAATTTTTAATCTTAACGGCGCTGTTGACTAATAGTTTTGTCACAACCAACTAATAATATAGGAACAGTCTTTAACAGAAAGAAGGTTAAATATTGGAAAAGTTAAAATAAATCGAAAATACCATACATATTATTAGCCATTTAAGAAAATCGAGATTTTTCAATTTAAAATGCTTAATAAAAGTGGGTTTTTGAAAGAACTTTCAGACCTTTTAGTTTGAAATGATCCAAATGTATTCGTTTATTTTGAATACCCTGTAAAATCTAAATCCAGTTCTGTTGCATACATGAGTCATGCCTTTAAAAATGATGGCGCTATCGTATTTTTTTTTGCAAGAGTGAAAACTAGTATTTTTTTAGAAAAATTAAAATTTTGGAAAAACTATTTGGATTAGGTTTTTATTATTATTAATAAAAAAATTAAGAATATTGTTTCATTTAAATGAAAATGTGTTTTATGCGTCACGCTTTATTGAGCCACCCTGTATACTTTGAAATAATTTTGAATTGTGGATCCGAACATCCTTTAGAACTTTTGTATTTACCATTTTCTGATAACTGTTGAAATCAATCAGATAATGGAGTTTACTCTATCGTTGACTCGCTTTATATATTAAAATTAAAAGTTTTTCTAACAACGAAATCAACAAGTAAAAAATACAAAGATTCCTTATTATTTTTTATTTTAAAAAAGAAATTAACAGTTTTTTATTACATTTAAATGATTTACGTTTAACCAATTTATAACAAATAATCAATTTATGAAATAATAATTTATTTTTATATACACAAAAAAATATTCTGTTGCTGCATATATACATACATAAACATATACATACATACATATACATACATAAATAAATAAATCGAGACCTCGATTTTACGTTTTTCCTTTCTAATATCTCCGGAAATACGCGAATAAACATTCTCCTCACAAATATGATTTTGAAGATTGCTCGAATATCGTATATATCCGTGAGAGCGTCGCGGATTGACGACAAATTAGATATTAACCCGACGTCATAAATCAAACCCCCACTTCTCGGAACAAATTGAGCAATTGACGAACCCATTCGCCCATCTAAAATTATAATTAGCCGCGGTTCATAAAATATTATATCGAATCTATAATTCGAACGTTTATACGGAGATGGTTTTGTAAACAACGTAACAATTATGTGGGCGTGGTCGTAAAAGGCGCACACACAAACACACACACACACACACACACACACACACGCACATACACTCACACATCAAAATATTACCATATGGTAAAAATATCGCCATTGATATTTTTAATTGTAGGATTGGGAACGCGTGCACGGCTGCTTTATTGGTTGCATAAAGTTGCCCGCGGTTATAGCTATAATTTTTTTTTTCAGTAATTTTTTGTTAGTTAGAAATTACGCATTAAAAATATCAAAACTCAATACCCAATATTTAAGTCGCAATAAATAGCTGAAATGTTTCCAGCCGGCTATTCCTTTTAAATGATACTAAACACGCGGAAACGATGGTGACGTCATACCGCTGCTTTTCGATCGATACGGCGACATGTTATAGTGTTATTCTCAGGTTATAGGCCGAGAATTATATTATTTCCTTTTATTTTTGGCTCTTGCAAAGGTGTGTTTGAATTGATGCCTTGTGCGTGTTACATAATAATAATGGAAGCAACACAGAAACAATATTACAAATAGTGCCATAGTGTTTCAGTACAACCTGACAGATAGCTTTAATCGTGCAAACATTTTTTACACTTCGAACTTGCACCTTCCTTGCAGTCTCCATAGAAATGGCTTCCTGATCTATATAAAATAAAGAACACTTTAAGTTATCAATGCCAATATACTTTTTCTACTCCCGTCTGTAAAATATCTAATTACGCACC